TACACTGCTGAGGGGAGCAGCAGGCGAGACAGGAGAGGTCTGCTGTGCCATGTGGGTCACCTCCAGGGCCAGGGATCAAATTTGCACTGAAGCAACTGTGTCTGGCTTGCATTGCTGCCCATTGCACCACCAGAGAGGCCAGGAGGTGTATTTCTAACAGGCTCCCCAGCTGCGCTGCTGCTGGTGGTCTCAATAGGAACCACAGAATAAACAACTAAATGCGTGTACCTGGATAATTGTGTGTATTGTTCAAACAGGGGTTCTCAAATTTAACATGCCTATGAACCACCTGGAGAGTGTCCTGACTCAGTAGGCCTGGGGTGATGTTCGCATTTCCGCATGTCTTACAACTTTCAGCTGACAGGAGTGTCCCTTTGAGCACCAGGAGTTGAAAGAGTAGCTAGATGCTGCCCTCTGCTTGGGTGGTGGTGGTTTTAGCAAACTAATGGTTCTGCACTGAAAAACATGTGCCCACTTTGAACAGATGAACAAGACATCTTGTGAGGTACAGTGGACAGGTACTCTGCAAGTTTCATGCTGTTCTGGAAATCAAAGTCAGAGACTAGAAGGGTCCAGATGAGACCGAGAGAGTGAAGGGTTCTAAAATGTAGTATATTCTTGTGTGTCAATTAAAACTTTCCAGTGTAATCTTTTTTAGTGTTGGTGTCCAGATTCCAGAATGTAGGTTTCACGGGTCCTGTGATTGAACAGACTAGATTCTTATAGAAATCAAAGGAGTAGCTTATTGTTTTTCTCAGCTTCTTGAGAATATAGACGTGAGTGTATCAACTTTAGGCCTTTATGATTCTGCATGTTTTATACCTTTTACCAGGAAGGATAATTATTTTGTGAAAATAAATGTTCCGTTAAACTCATTTATGTGATTTTCCTTTTGGCAGGTCACTTACAACATTGGGATTGGTTATATCATCACTGGCCGACCAGGCAGCTGGCAAGGGTAAAAACAAATTTGTGCCTTATCGAGATTCAGTCCTCACTTGGCTTCTTAAGGTAATTTATTCTGCCAGATTTCTTTTCCAGCTAAAAAATGGCTTTTCCGGTAGTGATAGCCAAAAAAGTGTTTGCAGAGCTAACCAAATACACGATGAACTTGTGGTGCTGGTGTCTGTATTATTTCTAGGAATGCAGAACCAAAATGATCTCTGTCACCTTTTTTCCATTATAATGCTATTTGGTAAACATTATTCTGTGATTCTAGCAAGTCTGCCCTTCACTTGTCATAAAATAATATGTGAAACACAGACCTGTTTCCCTATCCTACTTTCATGAGAACAGCGTCACACAGTAAGAGGCCATGTATTAGAAAATTATCATGTCATACACGGTGTGCATGCACTGGCCCTCATTTCCTAGGGTGTTGTTTGATATATCTTGCAGGACAACTTGGGGGGCAATAGCCAGACCTCTATGATCGCCACCATCAGCCCAGCCGCAGACAATTACGAAGAGACCCTGTCCACGTTGCGATATGCGGACCGAGCCAAAAGGATCGTTAATCATGCCATAGTGAATGAGGATCCCAATGCGAAAGTCATCCGGGAACTGCGGGAGGAAGTAGAGAAACTGAAAGAGCAACTGTCACAGGCTGAGGTAGAACCAGCTGGGTGGTCCCTATTGTTGAAACTCCTTAGTTTGTGGAATCTTGGTGGCAAGGATGTGCTTGCTTGCAGACCTAGGTCATCCCAGTGTAACTCAGTGTCTCTGTGTTGCTTGGTGCCTGCTGCATGTTCAGCATTGGGAAGACCTCAGGAAGAAAGATGCTTCCCAGGTGGCCCAGGGGTTAAGTCTCAGCACTATCACTGCTCGGCCTCAGTTCGATCCCCGACCAAGAAGGTGATCCACATGGCACAGCAGATCTCTCCTGTTTCCCACTGCTCCCCTCAGCAGTGTATTTCAGTAGATCTGCCTGTTCTGCTCCCTGCTTTGTCTCTAGTGAATACTCTCACCCTAGCACCTCTGGCCTGTACCCCAGTTCTGTTATGCAAAAATTAAAAAAAAAAGATTCTGCCCCAGGCACTCAGAGTCAACAAGCAGGCTGTCAAGAGACAGTTGTTGCTCCGGCTTAATTGCTTGATTTTGAGCACTGATTTCTTGTAGTGTGAAGTTCCATAACCAAGAGTGTTGTTTTATTAACATTATAGAATATTCCCAGAAGGCCTTGCAGTTCTGAGGGAAATTAGTTATGTAACACCCTTTCACTAAGTCATGGAAGATAGTGTGGTCAAGAATAGCCAAGTGATTTGGTGATGGGAAACCCGTGGGGATTACAATTGAGATGAAAAAAAAAAATGTGCAAAATGATGTAAAAATAAACTTTTTAATAAAAAAAAAAAAAGAATAGCCAATTGCCAGGAATGATTCAAATAACCCTTTTATTTTTTCCACTTATATCAGTTCCTGGCATAAAACAAAATCCATCATCTTGCATTGTTACCTCTTTCCTTGACTTTCGCCAGACTTCAGTAAGCACATCCTCTTCAGATAACTGTTGCTTTCTGTGCGCAACCGGGTGGGGCTTGGGGAGAGATGTGTCTCATCTGAAATAGGTCACGGGCGAAGTGGGAGGCTAGGAGCCTGAGTTCAGTCCATGTGCTTCCACATGGCACCATGAGCGGCCCTCCCCTTCCTCCCCTCTTCTTATCTGTTTTAGTTGGGAGAACATTAAATCCTGTTGGGAAGGGAAGGTGATTCATTATTCAAGAATTTGTGTATCAAACATGTTTATGTACTTTTTATTCTTACAGAATAAATATGGGCCAGAGGTGTGGTAGGTGAGACAATTCACCAGAGACAGAGCGGGGAGCAGAACAGGCCGACTGACAAAGGACACTGCTGAGGGGAGCAGCAGGAGGGTCAGGAGAGGTCTGCCGCGCCATGTGGGTCAGCTCCCTGGCTGGGGATGGAACTTGTGCTGCAGTGGCTTCTGAGAGCTTCATAATGTGGAGCTTTAACCCACTGTGCCACCAGGGAGAGCCCCATGTTTACTTTTTTTTTTTTTTTAATACCAACTCTACTTTTATTCCTAAATGCTACCATTTTTTTTATTATTTTACAAAAGTTGCCCCATGTTTATTTTTAATCTATCAGTTTCTCTATTCGAAAAAGGAATCTACAGAAATTCCAACAAACTAAAGGGAATCAAAGCCAGGGATCTGGCTTCTCCGTCCATTGGTGCATTTGGCATTGTGTTTTATCTGTTTGCATGATCCTCTTCTTCCAGGCTGTGGGTGCCTCGGGTGGAGGAAAGCATGTCTTAATATTTTCCATCCTTAACTCCTGGAACAGCATTGACCTTGGAAAGCACTTAGCACAAGTACTCGATAATGTTGGAGTCGTTTATTATAATTACTACAATCATCATTCAGTACATCAAGCAGAACTTTTTTTTTGCTTAGAAGGGTAGGAAAACATCTGAAAAATCAAAACCATGAGAAGCTTTGCAGAGGATTGTCATCTAAGAGGGAAGCGTCATGGTGCCTGGGTTTGTTTTGTAACCTGGCGGTTTCTTCCCTCTTGTCCAGTATCGACATCTCTACTAACGGTTCAGCCTCAGTCACTGCAGCAGGAATGTGATAGTGATGATGTGTGTTGATCTCTGTTGAAAAAGAAATCTGCATCCATACCTTTTCCCCCCGCTTGCTAAATCAAAGATGACCTTTAGCATCTTTTAGGTCTTCAAAAGTGAAATTTAAGAGTCTTCCCTGGTGGCACAGTGGGTTAAAGCACAGCACTAAGAAGCTAAAGCCACTTCAGCATAAGTTTGATCCCCAGCCCAGGAGGTGACCCACATGGCGTGGCAGACCTCTCCTGACCCAGTCTCTGCTCCCCTCAGCAGTGTACTTCGTCGATCTGCCTGTTCTGCTCCCCACTCTGTCTCTGGTGAAGCTCTCGCCGCCCCTGAGCCTCTGGCCTGTACCCCAGTTCTGTATGCACAAATAAATCTTTTAAAAAAAAAAGTGAAATTTAAGTATGATGGATAAAATTACTCTGTAATGATTTGTGTCCATTTAATTCTGGACACCGATAACTCTTTTTCTCCTTTGTTTATCAGCCATTGATAATTACCTTTCACTAATAAGGGTCTAAAATGCATCCAAACAGTATGTGACTTAGTTGCTTCCAACAGACGGTTGATAGCTGCTCTAACAAGACAATAAATGATTGTCTTATACATAAATGGAGGGAAAAAAATCAGAAACTCAGGTATCTGTGTTTTCGTTTTAAAGGCTATGAAGGCCCCTGAACTAAAAGAGAAGCTCGAAGAGTCTGAAAAGCTGATAAGAGAACTAACCGTGACTTGGGAAGAGAAGCTGAGGAAAACAGAAGAAATTGCACAGGTGACATGATCAATTCAGCCTTTTAGCTCGTGATTCTTTTTCACTTGCTATTTTCTTTGTATTATGACCTGTCGTCCTCCAAAGGTCTTAAGGAGGAGGACCTCATTCTGCTGAACTTAGAGACTGCGGAGGTCAGTTGTAGACACTGACTTTGTGGTTATATTGAGTACACATATTTGCTGGAAGCATTGAATAGCACTAAATTTGAACATGGATGGTACAAGAAATACCATTAACATTTCCTGCTTTCCACATTTAAACAAATGTCAATGTTGTGATTTTAGGTCAGGTGGCCAACAGGCTATTACCTGATTGGCGGAGAACTGTTAACATATAGCACATGATAGTTTTTGCAATGTATTTAATGCTTTAGGCTTGTTCCGATATGCTATGTGATCTCTACCTGAATAAAGCAAAGACCAGTTCTGTGGTAGATAGGACAGTTAGTATTTGAGGAATCTACACTACACTTTTCAAAAACATTTTAATCTCAACAACCACCTGATTGGACTATTGCCATCAAGTAGCTTGCCTAGCCGAACCTTCTGCTCATAATTAGCTTATAGAGACCATTCACCCACACCCACCTCTGATTTCCTGCCCCTTTTGTTTTATTTATTTATTTTTATTTTTTGTTTTTATGTTTGTTTTTTTCTCCCTTCCCCTACTTTATTTTATGTCCCTCTTGCCTTAGTTTCGCCATGGCACTTAACACCACTGGAAACTATAAATTTACACATCTGTTTTTTTATGGTCTGTCTCCTTCCACTAGAATATGTTTTTGTGAAAGAAGGAACTTAGTTTTATTTGCTTTTCTATTCCCAGTCCTAGACCAGTACCTAGCACATAAATATTTCTTGAATTAATAAACTGACTGACTCAAGCCTGCCCACAACAGGAACCCAATTTGTTCTTCCAGTCCTATCTTCTACTGCTACTTCCACATTTGCCAGGGCCTCCTGGCACCTTGACCAATATGCCCAGCGTCTTCATAGCCCCTCCTCTGAGACACCTTGCCTCTCACTGGAGACTCCATTCTGTGCTGTTGAAGTTATTCTTCTTCAAGAACTCCTGGTTCTTCAGGGGATTCTACCCCTAAAGCCTTTCCTGGTTCTTTTTTTCTTTGATATATAAAAGTTTAATTGTTCTTATTATACATATTTAACATCATTTTTCATTTTTGTACAGTGTGTGCTTTTTCATCTCGGGTGTATTCCCCATGAGTTTCCCACAACCAGCTCGCCTATGCACCATCACCACAGTCCCTTCTGCTCTTCCCACCTCTGTTTTGATCCTTCTCCTCCTCCCTTCTCTGCAGAATGTCTCTGGTTGATAGTTGTCTGTTAATTTTGATATTTACTCTATTATAATTCTTTTTCTTCCCCTCTCTCGTTCTTGATTCATTGTAATTCCCTTTCCTTTGAAGCCGGAAGTGCTTCCCTCCTCCCTGGTGTCTTCCAGGCCTGTGGCTTTCTCCCCCCTCCCAAAGTGGAAGCCCCTTCAGTAGAGACAATGGTGTCTGATTCACTCTGGGTGCCTCCGTAACACAGCACAAAAAGCACAGCATGTTCAGCTCTCAGTAAACTTGGTAGAGCCGAGTAGGATGACTCAGTTCATTGGCATTGTCCCCGGACACAGTGACTTACACTTTCCATGGATGCATCTTGTAAATGAAGCAATAAGTCGAGGCCCCTGTTTTTGTCTCTTGTCATGCACAGGAGCGACAACGGCAGCTTGAAAGTATGGGGATCTCCCTGGAGACGTCTGGTATCAAGGTTGGGGACGACAAGTGCTATTTAGTCAACCTGAACGCAGATCCTGCCCTCAATGAACTTCTGGTTTATTATCTAAAGGTAAGAGAGCAATATATGCATTGGTAGATGCAATCCCAGTTCATTCAGATATGCTTCCCAATTGAAGCTGCATGCCTGGCTCCATGATTTTGTTTTTTTGAGCAGCCTATCTCTCACTAAAAATCAATTGTATAATATTATATGCAATCCCCACTGAGAATGAAGACCAGCTGTATTGTGTTATCCATGTGCTGAGCAGTTGGGCCTATGAGAACAGGCAACAGAGGGAATCAAGAGGGTTCTGAGGATATCGTGGCGACCCTGAGTTTGGCTACAAGGATTCTAAGAATGGTCCATGGAGCATCATGGTTATGCTTCTGAGTAATTCTAAGGAGAATTCAAGATCACAGCCCAGAGCAGACCCTGGTGCTAGCTAGCACTTGAGAGTTCGTCCCAGTTAACTGTATCCCTTCTAAGGCTTCATGCACAAGAAGTACCTTTTGGCTCATAATCACCCTTCACATGTACAGATGGTATAGGGTCTTGGGATTTGGCACTTTGGCCTAGTTGCTGACCACACTGGACAGTTTAGTACAGTGGTTCTCAAACTTTCTAGCTGTGGGACCCATTTGTACTCTTCAAAAACTATCAAGGACTACAAAGAACTTTTGCTTACCTAGGCTATCTCCGTCTTTATGGTGTTAGATACTAATACTGAGAACATCTAAAAATACAAACATGTGCAAGCATACAGTCATTATCTTTAGCATTATGAAAGCATCACACTTCATGTAACCTCTGGAAAAGTCTGTTGTACACTTGCGATTAAGGCAAAGGCAAGTAACATCTCTGTTTTATCATACCAAGCTTCTTGAAAGGTTCTCAGAGACCCAGCCATTCTCAGATCACTCTTAGAAATGCTGGTTTATTTTGTTGAGTGAGAGATGAGACTTCTGCTTGAAATAGAGCACCTGATTGCTATAGATGTGGGGCACCCAAGTGACAGAGGGCACTCAACTGACTACAGGGCTTTTTAAATCTTGCACATAAATTGTGCACACACAGTTTTTTGTTACGGAGGTGTATATGTGTAACGGCGTTTAAATCACTGTTAAGGGTTTGAGCTAAGGGCTTGAAGGCAGCTTATATACACTCTCCATATATTTGACTCTTGGAATACAAGGATAGTACCCACTTGTGAAAGGTATGGTGTGACAGAGATTTTGGTATGCCTAGTGTAGCTATAAAATGCAATGGAGAATAAGCTAGAATTGAAGCAAAGCGTTCCAGTCTTCTGTCATCCATTTCTACTTTTCCCCAGAGGCATTGATATGTCACAGATAGCCCTGACTTACTACAATATGTCCATTCTGAGTGAAATCACCTCAAGAGAATTAAAGTGGGTCTGCCATATGTCCCAAAACATAATCATTGCATATTGTTAATATTTTGGATTTTTATATAAATAAAAGTATATTATTAAAGAACTACATAATAACATTATTATTAACAAATAAAGAATGCATTCAGTTAAGAAATGGGTAAGGCCTATGGAATTGTTTCTGAAACCCTAATTTCAAAAGATCAAGTCTTATACTTTAATTAAATGAATTTTAGAAAAATAGGAAAAACAGAGGGGATGAGCAGTTTACAGAAGCTCCAGAAGTCACCTATGTCTGAGGTTTGGCTTCCTTAAACTCACATAGTCTGTACACTGCATAACCACAGGTTTCAGCACTATAATATTAGTTCTGTTAAAAATTCAACTTTTTTAGCTTTTAAAAATATATGTATTTGAAAGCATGACTCCCCGTTGAAACTGCTTTCAATCGTCCTTAAATTTAACTATTTTCAAAGTACATTCACTGTTAAGACAGGTGAGCCTTAAAAAATCCTGTTGAGGGCCCTCCCTGGTGGCGCAGCGGGTTAAAGCACAGCACTGAGAATCTAAAGCCACTTCCGCATGAGTTCGATTCCCGCCTGCCCCGGAGGTGAC